ACCAGAGGTTCTTTTTTTTTCAGGGATCATTAGCCAGAATGATCTTTCTTAAAAGGAATTAAGCTTTTACTTTTGCAGACATTTGATCAATTCTTTGACAAAAATGGAAAGGCTTTGTTCAGCAGTCACTGAAGCTGCCAGAAGAATGTGTTTCAAAATACCAAACATAAGGATTCTTATTATAGGAATTAGCAGTGAGATTAAAGTTTAAATTTACTCATTATTATTTTCCATGTTTATTCTCCATCTCACCTTCTTATACACATGACCATACACTATTTTAATTTCTTAATGATTTTATTCTTTCCACTTGGCAGATAATTCTTTTTTTTTCTGTAAGTGTATATATTTAATGAAGCTGAGATTAGCATGGATATTTTTACTTGATACCTTTAAGTGCACCAGCTACTTATTATAACAAAGCATCTTTAATTTGATGCTACATCAGTGATTAGGATAGGAATAAAATTTATGATGGGATGTGTATGCTGGCTCTTGTTATTAATTGTTATGAATGTAAGAAATACAAGTAGAAAAGGTAATTTTTCTGATTGCTTATGTAACCTGAAAGTCCTAAATTAAACAGAGGCTGTCCTGTCCCTCCCTGTGCAGGAATCACAAGGAAGCTTGTGAGTTTTTGTTTCTCCAGATGAGAAGATCCCGTCTGGGCCTTGACATCTACTTTGTCAGGAAGAAATGGAGTCGATTTTCTGCATGTTCCTGCAATACCCTCCCTACGCTCTCCATCCACGTAGATAACCTCTCTGGTCAGGACTATGAGTTCTTTCTTTTTCCTGCTGAATTCAGTCATCACTAGAGGCTCAAGGTGCAAGGTCACCCCTCCTCCTCCTCCCACCACACCTATCCCCAAGCAGCACTACCATCATCAGTTACCATTGTGTTGACTTCAACTCATGGTGACAGCATATGTGTCAGAGTAGAACCGGGCACCACAGTGGCTGGATTTTAGCAAGTATATCACCAGGCCTTTCTTCTGGGATACCTCAGGATGAACTCAAATCTCCACAAGTGTTTGTACTACCCAGGGACTCAAATTCCCTCTTTGGACCTCATCTCCCTTTTCCTTTTCATCAGTTCTCTGAAATTTGTGTTCTACCACTAGAAAATCTCCTCAATTTTCTTTCAACATTTCCTTCACTTTTTTATCCTTCTGGCTCTTTCTTGAGGACTCTGTTTCCCCTTGAGCCCAAATGGAGGTGGGTTTTTCTCTCCCACACTTCAGTACAGCTGGAACTGGAGGAAATCCTTTCTTCTTATAGCTGCTTCTAGGACATTCTGTCTCCTTCTTCCCCCAAAGTCCATGAACTCTTCTAGTTGGTGTCACCTGCCAACTTCTTTGTAGACTTTGTCTTAGATTAAGACTCTCCATGAAACAGACTGAGTTAGGCTATTTGCGTGCAGGCTGATCTGGGAATGTGCTGTGAAATGAAGCAAGACCTGTCAGAGTCAAGGAAGCAGAAATCGACAGAGAAGTTGGTCACGGATGCAACAAAGGCCTCGACGGATCCCACAGGGAACACTGAAGCTGGGACGGCCCTCTAGAGTTGTCCCCAGTTGCCTTGTGATAGGCCCTGAGGAGAGAGAATTTTTCTTTGCTTCCTTTCCTACCATATTCAAGGTCCATTTGTAAAAGGTGTATGTATGGATTCTTCACAAAAAGCTAATTTTACTATCTTGGATCCCTCTTTACGTCTGGTGGTGGTAGTTACTTGCCATGGTGTCGGTTTCAACTCATAGCAACACTGTCTTCGGAAATGCATATCTAGATGGAGGATATATCAAGGTTTCTGAGCCTGTAAATATTCACTAGAGTAGAAAGCCTCATCTTTCACCCGTGGAACAGCTGGTAGTTTCACACTGCTGACCTTGAGGTTAGCAGCCCAATTCATAACTGCGCTACTGGAGCTCCTTTCTTGACATCTACACAAGCCTATTACATACTCTCCTTTAAGATTCTGGAAAGAACTTGAGGCTAATGGTTAAGTTTCTCACTGTCAGTGAAAAATATCTGCAAAAAAGAATTGGTGATGGAGTACAAGGGAACTTCTAAAGAAAAAGAGACCTTGCTAATGTAGGAAATTCATCTAAGCCAGTAAGCCTGTGAATTTCTTAAACAGAGTGGTTTCTGGGTTGGTCTACTATATCCATTGCCCCACATGATGAACTTTCGAGGTTGGTGGTCCAAACCCACCAGCCACACCTCAGAAACCTTCTACAGGATCTCTATGAGTTGGAACCAACTCGACAGCACTTAACAGCAACTTTCTTATTTAGACCTTCTTTCCTCTTCTTGAAAACAAATAGGAATGCGATTTTACCTTTAAACATTAAAGAGTTGTCAGAATAGTGGGAAGTGCCAGCCAAGCCAAATTCTGAGAGCAAGCTTGACTCCAGAGGGTCAAGGAAAGTTAGTAAGCACCAAGGCTGCACTGAGAGCATTTGCCCATAGTAAGAAAAAGATGAGGAAATTTGAGTTTTGATTCAGGAGCCTCAGGTAGGAGGAGAACAGAAATAAATTCCTATACCAAAATATTCTACCAACCATTCAAAGATGAAATCACTTCAATCATACAGTCTTCCAGAGAATAAAAGAGGGACCATTCTCAACTCCTTTTACAAGGGTAAGTCAAAAAGTATTGCTACTAGGATTCTAGTTCACGCATTGTTGTTATTAAGTGCCAGCGAGGCGGTTTCAAGTCATAGCAACCCTGTATAGGGTTTCCAAGGAGCAGCTGATGAGTTTGAACTGCTGACCTTGCAGTTCAAACTGACCTTATGGCCCAGTGCTTATCCTACAGTGCCACTCCAGTTCATATATGCATGAGTTTATTCCAAACAAAACATGTTTAAACATGTCTCTGTGATCAGTGGATGAGGACTGTAGACAAGTTCTTTGTGATACAATTGTCTTAGACTTCTAAGGGTGCCTTCAAAAGAAAGGTCCAATCAATACAGTGGGTTCCAAGAGGATCTGCTGGGCCAGTTCAATGAAAGTCAGAGAGGTCAGCTCAGAATGTTACAGCACTGTTTTTGGGATTCCAAAATGGTAATCTTGATAGATCTTCTTGACTTTCACAGAATGATCACAGAGTCTTATTAAGAAGTAAGTTTTAAGAACATTGAAAACTGCATGGGTGAGAAAAGGCCAGGAAGGTTGGACCCAGAATTTTTTTTCCCATCATGACAATGTACCTGCTCATTCTTGGAGGGTAGCAAGAGCTGGCTTACAGACTTTTGTTGAGAAACCTTACCCATTCACCCTACAACCTTGATCTTGCCCCTTCAGAGTTCTTTTTGTTGCCCAAACTCAAATAACATTAAAAAGGAATATGACTTGAGTCCCTTGTGAATGCCAAAGCTGCATTTCTAATATTTCTGGGCAAAGAGGTAATAATCATTCTTTAAAGAGAAGGTGGCTTGGAGTTTAGAGAAGCTGAATGTTCTTTTGGTCATCTTCATCTCCAAGAGGGTTAAAAGATCTTTCATTCTGCAGAAGAACTTGATACAGTTCTAATTCAACTTGTCCTTTGTCATATACTCTCTTCATGTTTTCTGTATGCTGAATTATCACTTCAACTGCTTTGCTAACCCGGCTTTCTGTTTATAAGGCTAGAAGTTCAAATTCAGAGTGTTGACTTTTGGAGAAGACTTTCTCTTTGTTGGCTCTGAGAAAAGGTCCTTATTGCCTTTCAGCATCTGTAGACCCATTGTTGTTGTTGTTGTTAAGTGCCATGGAGTCGGTTCCGACTCATAGCAACCCTGCACAGGGTTTCTGAGGCTATAAATCTTTATGGGAGCAGAACGCCTCATCTTTCTTCCGCGGAACCGCTGGTAGTTTCGAACTGCTGACATTGCGGTTCACAGCCTGATTTGTAACCACTACGCTAGACCCATTAGCACAACAGAAATGAAAATGGAAATAAAACCCAAAACCAAAATGAACTCAACACAGAAAATTATGTGGAACAATGAAACTAGCAACACCCCCCACACACACACACACAGCAAATTGATAGCATCAATTCATACCTATCAAGAATAACACTGAATATAAATGGATTAAATATACCAGGCAAGACAGAGAAGCAGAATGGATAAGAAACCAGGACCCTTCAATACACGAGTCCACAAGAGAAACATCAAAACGATGGAGATAGCCTAAATGTCCATCAACAGAAGAATGGTTAAACAGACTTTGGTACATACACAGTGAAATCCTACAAAATGTTGAAGAATAATGATGAATCTGCAAAACACCTCACAACATGATGAACCTAGAGGACATTATGCTTAGTGAAATTAGTCAATCAAAAAAGGACAAATATTGTTGAGACCAAAGTTGTAAAAAGTTAAGAAAAGGTTTTCTTGATAAAAGAAACATTCTATGATATTGCATGGGGAGCGGGGGAGAGAAAATTATTCACAGACTAGAGGGTAGACACATGTTCGCATGGGTTACAGGGCAGGCAATATACAAGCAGAGGAAAAATGAAGGTAGTAAGAGACACAGGTAAGAATGCAATAGTTAAAGTGAATAGAGGTAAGTACTGTTTAAATGATGGTACATGGAGGAAATTGCAATCTTTTTTTTGGCTATGATTTTTTTTTAAATAAAGTGATATTAAAAAGAAGCTTGTGGAGCACTGCTTGCCATTCTCTGGGCCCCACTGTGGGTTGCTGTGGGGGTTGACATTCGAAAGCAGAGGCTTGGGAAGACAGTGTCCACAGCACCTTCCCACAGCCATCCCAGTGCCCAGCTTTGGGTCTAGAATGAATTTGTCCTTGCCAATCTCTCAGACAGCGCCAGGGTCTGCCTCCCAGGTCTCTGGTTCCCCACCACCACCATCACCACCAAATGGATCTGAAATAGGCCATGCAGGTGACCCCACTGAGCCTGAGACCAGCTGCTTGTAAAGTCTGCTTCAGAGAACGAGGCTAGCCAGTATCAGCCCACAGCCAGGTCTCTCTACCACACTTTATTAGGAGGGGAACATAAGTACTAGAGACATAGGTGCCGGGCTGAGGGGCTCATGAGCTATCTTTACAAGGACAGTGCCTGATGCCCTGAGAGAAGTGCCCAGAGTGGGTTGGAGCTGGGCTTCTAGGCTGAGCAAGGCTCCTTCCAGTTCACTATTTAATTCCTTCTTGCTTGTCTTTGATGGCCACCCAGAGGTGGTCTGCACGCGGATGATGATCTTGTGTTCCAAGGGGTGGGGGACTTTGTAGCTGGCAAACGGCACCTGTGCGTCTTTCAACAGCTGTGATTTGATGATGTTTCTGAGGGTGTCGTCTTCTTTGTTGATGGTGAGCAAGCAGGCATTGGGCACCTTGGTGTCCTTGTTGATGGTGATCTTCACACCCTTGAAGAGCAGGAACAACTTGAAGGCAGGAGGGGCATTCATCCTGAGACCACAGCTGCCGCCACCTTCCAGGTCAGTTTCTTCTTCCAGGTTTGGAAATTGCTATCATTTTAATGAAGCAAAGTATATGATTTGCTAAATGTAAAATGCCCAGCAAAGGTGTCCTTCAAATACGATGATGAAATTAGGACATTTCCTGATAAACAGAAATGAAAGGAATTTGCAATAATTAGAGCAGCTTTATAAAAAATGCTAAATAGTGGCCTTTGGGCTCAGAACGAACAACAGAAGACAACAACCTGAAACTGGCAAATTCTACAACATCACCCAGAACTCAATCCAGATATGAAAGTTTTTAAAGTAAAACAAACATACAAGACTGAAAATAGGGAACCAGAGGTATCAATTTATAATGAAGTCAACAACGGAGAGAAAAGAGGGAATAGTATAGATACAGAGTTTCCAAGGGGCAAGTAGTTTTCAAGAGAAAACAGATTGTTTGAAGGAAAAAAACAATTAATAGGGTAAAGTCAAAGCACGCTAATAATTCTTCACCTGAAAATACAAAAGAAGAAAACCAGAAAGATCCAGTCATCATTAACACACCGGAAATGAAGAAAATGAAAAGAAAACCCATAAATAAAATGAATTCAGTGCAGAAAATTGTGTGGAACAAAGAAACAGCAACACCTCAAAAAACACACACAGCAAAATGACAGCAATCAATTCATTGTCTCTGTCAGTAATTACACTGAATGTAAACGTGTTAAATGCACCAGTCAAGAGACAGAGGGTAGCAGAATGGATAAGAAAAACGTATCTTTCAATATGCTGTCTATAAGAGACACACCCTGCACAAAAAGATAAAGCAGACTAAAAATCAAAGGATGGAAAATAGTATTTCAAGCTAAAGACAATGAAACATGAACAAGAGGCAATATTTAAGCTCTGGTAAAATGGACTTTAAGGCAAAAACCTGAATAAGAGAAAAAGAAGGCTATTATCTCATGATTAAAGGGTCAATTGAACAAGAGGACATAATCATAATAATATCTGTGCTCCTAATAAAACTATCTTAGAATACATAAATCAAATTCTAATAGAAGCCAAGTAAGGTACAGACAACTCTACAATAACAGTAGGAGATTTTAACATACACAACTAGAAAGAAATTCAACAAAGCCACAGAAGAACTAAGCAACGCTATCAACCGACTTGACCTCCTGGATGTATAGAAAGCATGCAAACCAATAGCAGCACAATATACATTCTATTCCAGTGCACATGGAAGATTCTACAGAATAAACTATATATTAGGCCACAAAGCAAACCTCAGTAAATTGAAAAAAACATTGCAAAGCATCTTCTCAGATCACAGTGCTATAAAATTAGAAATCAAACACATGGAAATTGAATAATATACTGTTTAAAAGTTACTGTGTAATAGAACAAACAAAATTAAAATTAAAATATTCTTTGAATGGAATGAGAATGAAAGCACAACATACCCAAACCTTTGGGACACAGCAAAAAAAAGTAATCCTAGGGCTAGTTATAGTAGTTCTCGCACACATCCACAGAGAAGAAAGAAACAAAGTCAACATCTAACCCAACATCTCCAGCAATTAGATTAAGAGCAGCAAAGTATACCAACTGTCATACTTTGAAAAGTAATAATAAAGGTTAGAGCAGCAATAAATGAAATAGAACAGAAAAACAATATAAAGAATCAACAAGATAAAAAGTTGATTCTTTGAAAGGATTAATAAAATCAACAAACCATTGGCAAATCTAACAAAAGAAAATAAGAAGAAGATGCAAATAGCATGAATAAGGAATGATAGGGCAACACCACAATAGACCCAACAAATAAAAAGATAACAACACAATACTACAAAGAATTGTAATTTGTAGTATTGCGTTGTTAATCAAGTTTTTCAACAAATTTGAAAATGTAGAAGAAATGGACACATCTCTAGAAACACATGACTTACCTAAGCTAACACACAGTGAAGCAGAAAACATAAGCAGAGCTATAACTAAAGGAGAAATTGAATAAGTGATTAAAAGATTCCCAACAAAAAAAAGTCAGATCCCAGGTAACTTTATCGGTGAATTCTACCTAACATTCAGAGAGGAACTGATGCCAATCAAACTGCTCCAGAATATGGAAAAGGAAGGAAAACTCCCAATTAATTTTATGAAGCAAGTATAACCCTGAGACCCAAACGAGGCAAAGACATCACCCAAATAAACACAAAAAACAATATCCCTCATAAGCATAGATGCAAAAATTCTCAACAAAATCCTAGCCAATAGACTCCAACAACATATTAAAAAATATACATATCCTTATGCAAGGATGGTTGTTTCAAATTAGAAAAACCATCAACGTAATCCACTACATAAAGAATACAAAGGGAAACAAACAAACAAACCACGTGATTGTATCAATTGATGTGGTAAAAGCACTTAACAAAACCCAACACTTATTATTGATAGAAAAAACACTCAACAAAATAAGAATTGAAGGAAAATTGCTCAGCATAGTTAAGGGTACACATACAAAAGCAAAAGCCAACATCACTCTGAATGGAGAGAAACTGAAAGCATTAATCAGACAAGGATGGCCTTTATCATCATTCTGTTCAATATTATGCTGAATGTCTTGTTGTTGTTGTTGTCAAGTGCCACTGAGTCAGTTCTGACCCACAGCGACCCTGTATAGGGTTTCCAAGGAGCAAATGGTGATCTTAAACTGCCAACCTTATGGTTCAAACTGACTTTGCAGTCCATCACATTAACCCACAGTGCCACACCAGGAATTAACCAGAGTTTAAAGCAAGATAGGGAAATTGAAAGTATCCAAATTGGCAAAGAAGTAAAAATTCTATTTGCAGATGATATGATCCTATACCTTGAAAATCCCAAAGACTCAGTGAGACAATACTGTAATTCATTGAAAAATTCAGCAAAGTTGCAGGTACAAGATCAACACACAAAAGTCAGTTGGATTCCTATACACTAATAAAGAGAGCTCTGAAAAGGAACTCAGGCAAAAAACACAATAGCCACTGAAACGAAGAAATACTTAGGAATACATCTATGCAGACAAGCAAAAGACCTATTCAAAGCAAACTACAAAACGTTAATACAAGAAACCAAAAGAGACCTACAAAAATGGAAGAATATACCATGCTTATGGGTAGGAAGACTTAACATTGTAAAAATGTCAACAATACCCAAGGCAATTTGTAGATATAATGTAATCCCAATCTAAATCCCAACATCATTTTTTAAAGAGATGGAAAAACGAATCACTGACTTTATATGGAAAGAAAATAGACCCTGAATAAAAGAAAAATAAAATAGGTTTCTCAATTCCCAATCTCAAAACCTACTACACAGTCACAGTAGTCAAAACATCCTGGTATTGATACCAGAGAAGGCACATAGATCAGTGGTACAGCACTGAGAATCCAGAAGTAAATCCAACGGCTCTGGTAGCATAGCGGTTACGAATCGGGCTGCGAACCGCAAGGTCAGCAGTTCGAAAGTACTAGCTGTTCCGCTGGAGAAAGATTAGACTATCTGGTCCCCTAAAGATTTGCAGCCTCAGAAACCCTGTACAGTGTTGCTGTGAGTCAGAACCAACTCCACAGCATATAACTAACCAACCATGATCAATTGATCTTCAGCAAAGTGTCAAAACATATTAAATGGGAATCAGATAACCTCTTAAACAAATGGTATTGGCAAAACTGGAAATCCATCTATTTGCAGAAGAAAGAAACAAGGCCCATATCTCACACCATACAAAAAAAACAAACTCAATATGGATTAAAGACCTAAAAATGTGAAACCTGTCACTATAAATATCATCAGTGAAAAAACAGGGATATAAATACATAGTCAAATAAAATTGAAAACACATAAACAGTATAAAACAAAATAGACGACTGGGACCTCCTAAAAATTAGACACCTATGTGTGTCAAATGATTTCACCAAAAGAGTAAAATGAGAACCCACAAAAAGGTAAATTTTTTTCAGTGATAAGGTACTATTGTCTAAAAATTATGGAACACTTCAACACCTCAACAAGAAGACAAATAATTCCATTAAAAATGGTCAGAAGATATAAACAGATACTTTGCTAAAGAAGACATTCAAGCAGCCAACCATCTTACGAAGACATGCTTGTGATCATTAGCCATTAGAGATAATGCAAATCAAAACAACAATAAGTATCATATTCTAGCATTTATAACAAAGTTCAAAAAAACAGAAAACAACTAATGCTGGCTAGGGTATGGAGAAACTGGGACCCTCCTACATTGCTGGTGACGCTGTAAAATGGTGTAACCACTGTGGAAAACAGTATGGAGCATCCTCAAAAAGTTGGAAATAAAAATACCATATGACCCAGCATTCTTCTACTTGGTATATACCCTCAAGAAATAGGAGCAATGACCTGAATAGATATAAGCACACCCATTTACATTGCAGACTATTCACAATAGCAAAAAGATCAACAGGAGAATGGTTAAACAAACTTTGGTACATGTCTACATAATGAAATACTACACAACATTGAAGAAGAATAATGACTCTCTGAAACACTTCATAACTTGAATGAACCTGGAAGGCATTATGTTGAGCGAAATTACTCAATCACAAAAGCACAGATATTGCATGAGATCACTGCTGTAAGAGTTAAGAATATGGTTTTTTTTGCCAAAAAAACCCCACACAAAACACATTATGATGGTTATCAGGGGTGGGAGAGAAGGAGAAATTATTCACTGGCACCTGGTGTGGCACTGTGGTTAATGTGTTGGACTGCAAAGTCAGTTTGAACTGTAAGGTCTGCAGTTCAAGCTCACCAGCTGCTCTTCAGAAACAGAATCACTATGGGTTGGAACCGACTCTACAACACTTAACAACAATCAACAAAGGTTAGACACGTGTTAACTTGAGTGACGGGGAAGGTAATATACAACAAGAGGAGGTTGGCACAGGAAAAATGAAGTTAGTGGAAGA